ATTAACAGATTGGTACTCTGGAATTACAAGCAATAATTTTTCATTTTATGGGCTAGTATAAATTTCAAAACGAATCTCAATAACCGACTTTTATATTTTGTGCACTAAGAATAACATATTGCAGTTATTTTCTAGAAAACTGTAATATACAAATTCTAATCTGTTTTACTTATATGTATGTATGTTCAATTTGAATTTGCACCTTGAATAATCTATCAGTTCCTTTTCGTGGTACATTTTATTTATTTATAATAATTATATACTGTTTACGATATATTTATAGTATCACATCAGTTGACTACACCTATATCTACGACGCCATGTTTTAGCAAACTAGGAAGATTGGCTAGACTCCTTATTATAGGGACTCTAGGCTGGACGAACGCGCTTATTTGGTTATATGTAAGGTCTAATATCTCGTTTGTGTTAACTGAAAAATGGTATAGGACTTTTCGACTCTGTCAGTTCGGTATACTCTATCTGTCCTTGATAACTGATTTAATTGATTAATTACACCCTGTATAATATCGTCTTTCGAGCTATCAATCGAACGTCCGTTTTTAGTGATGCCTTCTATAAGCTCAACTTTCGCTCAACTTTCGCAATATACTTGTTATTTTCTTTTACTTATTAATTCATACGTGAGTCTTTTGTTCTAGTTTTCTCATCCTTCGATCTTCTTCCCTTCCTATCAATTCCGTGATTGAGATTGGATTTTACCCATCGCGATAACAAATTATAAGTAATCATTTCAAGTTAGTTAAAAATTCAATCAAGTGCAATGAGTGTGTAAATCAAGTTAGTTTAAAAGCGAAAGGAGTGGCACGCTCTTTTGTATCTGACCTCTAATTTGTGTTCAGAAAGATTTATGATGATTCAATAAATATTCGCAGATTTATAGAGTATTAAGTTAAGATTTGTAACCAAACTGGAGATCGTTAGAGAATGTGAGAAAGTTGTGCCACTGCTCGCGAATACAGTTAAAAATTTGACCAAATTTTCGTGATCTGCATAAGATCTTACTTCGATACTTTATAAATTTGCTGATATTTATCGAATTGTTGCAAAATCTTTCTGAATGCAAATTGGGCGTCAGGCACGAGAGTGCGTATCACTTTTTCGATTATTTTTAACAGATTTGATATATAATAATTATTTGTAATTCATTATCGTGGTGGGTGAATTATTTCGATCTCTCAGCCACGGAATTGACATAGCATCTCGGCCAACGAGCGACATTGTCTCTTGGACTGCATTTGAAAACACTAAAACTTTAAGTACTTCCGAGTATTATTTTATCTTTGTTGTTCATTTAACATTAAACAGCTTTGAAGAAGGCCTCAAAAATGGGTTGATAAGCGAGAAGCGTCGTCTATAAAGTTATTCTGAAGAATCGAAGAAGGAACTGAGAGTACTAATACTTTTAGCACATTGATTGATCGCGTTCAGCAGACTCAAACGTTACGGAACGGATCCGTGAGTGCTGGTTGCTATTGGAGGCTCTATAAGGATATGCCAATAACATCAAGCGCTCATGGATTCACTCTACACAGTTGAGTCTGCTGAACGCAACCATTGACATTGGGTGCTTTCCAGCTACGAAACACAGTGTAACACTGTATGACACAGTGTTACACAGTGTCGACTTGTAGCTGAAACGCTATTTAGTCACTTTACACTAGTGTTTCTAATAGGAAAAAGTATTCTGGTATATTTACTAATTCAAAAGAATATTTTGTCACCTTATTTGTTTCGTATACACTCATGCAATGTCGGAATATCATTCCTAGATAAATAAATAGTACAAAATGTAAAAATCTTGGTTATGTTGGTAACTATGAAGAGACGACACTGTTGAACTCAGCATTTTAGCTTTGTACGATTGTGTCGACTTGTGTCATAGTTGGAAAGCACCGTGTCGTACACTGTGTTACACAGTGTCTACTTGTGTCGTAGCTGGAAAGCACCCATTAATTCGAAAAACAAAATCTAATTTAACTAATCGCTGAACGGGACATAAACAACATAAAGATAAGATTAAATTGTTTTAATAAAATTTACTCGAACAACATTACAATTGTTACTAAACCATTGTATTATTCAAAGTAATTTAAATCAAAACATTTTTATTAATCGCTCATCCATCATGTTTTGATTTATTTCGATTTTTTCAATTTGCTTTCTACAAAAAGTTATAATATACCCAAAATATAATAATTGTCATTATCCAATTGTCATATCCTTATAACTATAATATTCTTATAATCGATTAGATATTATAAATAAATTTGATAAAAAACTTGTTTATTATAATTTGCGGAATAGGTATACTTGTATTTTATCAAATGTTACGTCCGGGGGACTCCACGACTCTTTTCTTTCGTAGAAAAAGCTAGAAATATAATAAGGATTAACTAAATAAGGAGTACGAAGAAACTTAAACAAATAATATCGTTTCTTCCTGCTTCTTATTTCTAATTTAAAGATCAATGAGTGAGCGTCGACAAACAATTATTAAATAATAAAAAAAAAAAAGAATTTGTCTTGACCGACGAATTCAGATGATAAGCCACGTCGCGAGATCAAAAAGTCAAACCGGCACTCATGGATCTTATAGAAAAACATCTTCGGGTTAATAGAGTTCAACGCTACACGCGCGATTCTAGGACCAATGAAAATTCGACACATCATTTGACCCAAATTTTTCCATTTCCCGGAAATCAATCCCGATCAAAGTCCAAAGTCCGATTACACAAAGAAGGGCACATTGCCCTCCGCAAGAATAAATATGAAGCCGCGAGACTACGAAACTTCACTTCCTTAGTTCTAATAGTGCGGGTCAGATCCTTGACAGTTCCGATATTACATTTAAAACCAGTCTCAATAGAGCTTTCACACCCAGTAATTCGCGTGTGACACATATAAAATTTCGGAGTTCCCGTGAAAAGGGCAGCGACTACATTCGACCAGTTCAGGACCTTGCTCCATCACAGGCCCCGATCTTCAGGAACTCCGCCACCAATCTATCAACACCTCATTCATCCCAAAAGTAAGAAGTCAATTTTTTTTGTTCAATTATATTATTATTTGACCATCTACTATCTCTCTCTCTCTTCTTCTTCTTTCTTCTTCATGCATGATTTTCTCTTTTCCCTTATTTTCTGAATTGCTTAGCGTCTAACGCCTCAAGCGATTCTCTCTTTTCTTTTAGTTTCCGAATTGCTTAGCGTCTAACGCCTCAAGCGATTTACTTTCCTTACTCTTTATTTCCCGAATTGCTTAGCGTCTAACGCCTCAAGCGATTCTTTTTTTTCTTTTCTGAAGTGCTTAGTGTCTGACGCCTCAAGCGATTTACTTTCCTTACTCGTTATTTCCCGAATTGCTTCAGCGTCTAACGCCTCAAGCGATTCTCTCCTTTATTC